GCTCACTCCCAAGAAAGTGGGTATAAAGTTACAGTTCTACATTCTCAAAATTGCATGAGATTCTTTCCCAGGTACCCTTAGACTTCAGCTGTGAATCAACTCTCATATGGCTGATGTGTAATTCATAGGCATTTATTATAGATACAGAAGGATCTGCAATGAAGAGAAAAGGACAGCAGTCCTAAATGATGGAATATGGGGAAATTCCAGGTTTCAAATTACAGGACAGAAAGGAGAGAAGGCAGATGCAACATAAAGGGTGCTGAATGCTATCAGAGAAAAAGCAACATGGGTAGGATAAAGCAGGAACAGCAGGAAGGATTGTGGTTTTGGGGTTGTCACTTGCAGTCATGGTTCTGTGGAAATTAGTATTTTTAGTCATTTCATATGCAATAGGCTTAAGTTTTGCTTTGCACAAGCAATGTATAATTCAGAAGTTGAAAAACACAAAATACATATGATTTCTTCAAATTCTCTTTGTTGTGGCAAAATGTTAAAATGTTTAAAGGTTTATGCTGAATCTGGTAAACAAATGTATGTTTCAAGTTTGGGAGGTCATTCCAAACTACTTGATGACTAATGAATGTACCATCAAACTGGAACAGGTAAAGGCAACTTAGTACCTACCCTGTAACATGTTTTGGGCTACAATTTCTATAATACTTTCCCATGGCTTTGCTAGCTGGTCTTTTGAGAGCTACAGCCCAAAACACCTGAATGTCACCAGGTTGTCCACCCCAAACTGGAATATTGGAGAAATTGGTATGTGGACTAGTTCAAACCTAGCTGGTCTTGTGACAAAGCTTTCAGCATATACATGACATGAACTTGATTACTGGAGATTAAGAGAAATATAAACAATCTACTGACCATCTTACCCATGTCATAGTCAAATACTTTCATGACACATTAAAGCTATTCCATTTTCTCCACTACACTGGCTGGTAGCTTTTTCTTCCATAGTATAAGCTGATATTATGTAAACTGATCTTCTTCCAGTTGCTTGGTTTCCAAGTTCTTGAAACACTATTTGAATTAATGGAGGTTGTAGTATTTTTATAATTTAATCATTTCCAGATGGTTATCTAGAAACATTTTGAAACTTAACTTCCAATCTGGACTTTCTGTTAGTCTTCAATAAGATAAATAAGATAAAAAGATTCTAGCTCAAGAATAAAGTTTTCATGGAAATGAGATATTTCCATTACAGTGGTACCTCGGGTTACGAACGCCTCTGTTAACAAACTTTTT